TTTCTTGTCCAGCACAGTTCTGCAGCTTGTACTTTCATCCATATTCCAATTGGTAAAAATCCTACCATTTATTAATTTCTAGGGTTTGGGGGGGGGTCCCTCAAAGCTATAACAGTATTTTTCAGTGCAGAATCCATCTGCAAATGGGGGGGGGGAGGCAGACAGACTGAGAGTACTGAGTAAATTTTGCTGTTTTCTCCACTATTCTTCAGTGTAACAGCAAAGGTACTCTGCAGATGAAAAGGAGATACGTATAGTTTGGCTCAGAGGTGTCTAATACATTTGAAGCAAATAACTTTCCCTAAAAAATATTGGGATTTGTATTTTGTTAAGGGTACTGGGAATTACAGTGGTACCTCGGGTTACATACGCTTCAGGTTACATACGCTTCAGGTTACAGACTCCGCTAACCCAGAAATAGTGCTTCAGGTTAAGAACCTTGCTTCAGGATAAGAACAGAAATCGTGCTCTGGCTGCGCGGCGGCAGCAGCAGGAGGCCCCATTAGCTAAAGTGGTGCTTCAGGTTAAGAACAGTTTCAGGCTAAGTATGGACCTCCGGAACGAATTAAGTACTTAACCCGAGGTACCACTATATAGGGGACGCGGGTGGCAGCTGTGGGTAAAAAGCCTCAGCGCCTAGGGCTTGCCGATCGAAAGGTTGGCAGTTCGTAATCCCCGCGGCGGGGTGCGCTCCCATTGCTCGGTCCCAGCGCCTGCCAACCTAGCAGTTTCGAGAGCACCCCCGGGTGCAAGTAGATAAATAGGGACCGCTTACTAGCGGGAAGGTAAACGGCGTTTCCCGTGTGCGGCTCTGGCTCGCCAGATGCAAGCTTTGTCCACGCTGAGCCACGTGACCCGGAAGTGTCTCCGGACAGCGCTGGCCCCGGCCTCTTAAGTGAGATGGGCGCACAACCCTAGAGTCTGTCAAGACTGGGCCCGTACGGGCAGGGGTACCTTTACCTTTTTTTTAGGCACTATATAGCTCTATAAAGGGTAAATGACAGATCCTAGGATTTTGCGGGGGAAGCCAATGAGCTTTAAATGCGCTTTAATCGTACCATGTGTACGAGCCTTAAAAACCGGGAGGTGAGGGAACAGGTGTTTTTCAAACATTCTAAGGTGGCCTATAGTGGCATTAGGGGGGGAATTCTGACTGGGGGATGTAGAAGGGGCAAATTATATTTCTAGGTGGGTGAGCAGCACATATTCAACACCTACTTAACAGGCCAAACTCTGTCATATGCGCTCCTCCGATTTTTCTTTTCGGATGGAGCTTTGCATGTTCCCTCGCCCTAAAGGTGTTCAAGGCAAAAGTGGTTCCCGTGCTTGCTTATGCTGCCCCGCTTCTGGGCCGTGATGACAGACCTTGCTCCTCTTGAGACTCTGCAAAACCAATTCCTACGTCGGCTCCTAATGCTCCCCCTGTGCGTAAGCAACGCAGCCATGCGACTAGAATTGAAGATTGCATCCTTAGAAACTTGCCTGTGGAAGCAAGTCTTCAATTATTGGTTATCATTGTGGCATAGATTACCAGACCATTACCTTGTCCAATGCTTATGGCGAGATGAATTCTCCAGCCTTTGGACTAGTAGAATTCATGCCAAACTCCTGAGTTATGGAATCTCTCCCTTAGATTCCCTAAAACTAGATCAAATCACTGCTCAAAGACTGATCCGCCAAAGACTGGATGACATCGATTTACAGCGAATTATACGCTGGGGGGAGGTGTTTGTTCGC